GGCTTCAAAACAGTTTTTTAATGTTTTTAGCTGTTAGGTTTTCTATTACTCTGTGACTTTGCTCACAGTGAGAAGCAAGTCCTTTTACTTTTATTCTTTATCTTTTAGCCATATAACAGAAGTAATAAAGAAATACTTTGGGCACAGGATCCCAAATTGGACCATCGTATTACTATTTCCTTTCTGTTGTTGAAGTTGATGTGTCTGTTAAGTCTCAGTTTGCTTTCTGGATATTTCAAAAGGTGTGAGGACTAGACCCATCTCAAAGTTTCCAATGTAGCTATGAGCAGTTCACCATTTTTTTACACCTTAAATATTACAGCTATATTTAGCTTCCTCAGGGAAAAACACAAAAGAAAGGAAATGAACTTTTCTACTGCTGAAAAAAAAAAACAAACCAGGTTCACACCACAAAAGAAAAAAAAAAAAGGCAACACCTGGTTAACCTGAAATGCTGCCATGCCTGGCACTGCTGGTTTTTTCTTCTTGGAGGGAAAATTAGTATCTTCTACATCTGTAGGATTACTAATCAATTGAGCTACAAATGGAGAATTATTCATGTGAAGGTGATGAGAAAGATCTTCCTGAAAAATTCTTCTAGTAGATGATAACTAGATGGCTATATGCACTCAGTCCATGATAGTGCAGATAAAGTAACCTACTTTTCAGAATTTCCTAGATTAGAGAATGAAATAAATACATTTACAAGAAAAAAAACTGTATTGAACGCTTCATGTTTTTAAATATAGTAACATCTAGTGGGACACAGTGTCAGTCTGGTTTCCAGTTTGATAATCACTGTGCAAGCAGTAACATATGACAGCCATCACAACAAGCAAATAGCTGAGACAAATACAAATGGAAAGAGGGAATACAAAGAATCCTTGAGAGATAAAATGATGTGCCAGAAACAGACACCAGTTGCCTGTTTCTTCTGCATATACCATTCCACTTTGCATATACTTTACATCTTAACATTTGCAGTATCATTTAATATATTGAGCACACTGTAATGCAAAATGCCTGTGTGATCTACAGTTCAAGTGACAATGGAGACTTTCTTTTAGCCTTGTAGGATAAAAACTATTCTGTGTGGTTGTTGTAATGCATCGATATCAAAGAAGCCAGAATGAAAAAAACCACAAACTGAATTATTTCAAGAGCAGTCCTATACAGTTATAGTAGTTTTACATTAAATTGTCTATAACAATTACCTGTCATTAAATGGTAACAATTTAGAGGTACTGGGAAAGAATACTGGAGCTAGATTTTTATTAAGCAAAAGGAAAGGAAGGAGTTATTTACCTTTTCCATTGTTGGTATTCAGTGGTTGAATGTGTCAAATAGAAATTGCGTACAATAGCTGATGATAGCACCCGCGGAGGAAGCTCTTTACCCTCCACCTACATTTGAAGAGCTTGAGAAAGAGGATGGCAAGGGATAATTTTCCTCCCTAGAGCTGGGCACCCTGTGTGCACCTCACACCTGAACGGGACTGCGGCACAGGGGTCAGTTTCTGATCTTCCAATGGGGAAGAAGAGACACTGAAGAAATCATATGAAAACAACCCGGAATGGGGATGTGCTTGTGTGTTTACACACATTTGTTTAAAAAGAAATTTACTCTATCCTTCACCATTTACTTTCTTTTTGCTTTATGTTGTCTGCTCTTACTTTGAGCTCTTTAAGCAAGGGGCTGTTTTCCCGATTTCAGTGATGTAGTACAAAGAAAGTTACCATCATCTTTTTTTGTCGTTGTAGCCAATAGATATTAGTGCCAGGTTCTCCCTTCTCATTTTTCTCCACTCACCTGGCAACATTTCTTCATCGAATGGCAGCAAGACCATGACTGGAGTATATGTCGTGCTTCTCATAGTGTTGCCCAACAGTTGTTTGCTGTAGCATCCTGCACTTGATGTTCTGTACACAGACAGCATCAGGCAAGGCTGAATGAGAAACGCCATGATCAGTTCATAAGAAATAAGGGATGCGCATCTACACTACTGTGTTTCTGGGGAGTAACCTAGATACAGTCCTCACTGTGCTGGGTGTAATGTGGATAGGTGCCCTGTCTGGCAGAACCGTATAGTCAAGAAACTCAGAGGAGGAAAAATAGGAAATGGCATTGCCCTTCTTTTACAAGTGAGAACTGAGGCACACTTTCTTCCGCACCTAGACTAAAATGAACATCTGTGGTATGTAAAAGAAACAAAACTCTGAATAACAAGTCTGAGACACTTCTTTCTTGTGGGGGGTAGCTGAGATACATAAATTGGGCTTTTTAGGGAATTTGACTTCATTCTTTCCCAGCAGTAAGGCCTCAAGGTGTTACATACTTTTGAATATGTTAAGTTCAGCTGATTTACCTCTAGTAATTTTTTTATTTTTTTTTTTTGGGGGGGGGAGGGAAGGTAGTAAGTAAAGATTAAGCATTACAAAGCATATTTTTGAAATGAATTTGACACAATACTTTTGAAGTTCATGAATCTATTAAGTCTTGGACACTCTCTAGTGTATTAAACAACAGTAGTGATTTACATTATTTTGAAGTTGTAAGTAAGTTTTCAAGGGTAATGAATTTCACATATAGAGATAAAAAGATAACATTCCTTCATTTATGCCAGCTAACTTCTTTTCCCTCTCAATACTACGTTTAGCAAAATGGATAAGGTAGAAAGGATGCTGGTATATTTTTATGTTAATTAATGTATTTTAATTTCAAATAGCATTTTTGAAGTTCAGATAGCTTCCAAAAAAGTGGTGCCAGGGCAAAACTAATGAATTTAATTCTTTTCAATATACTTCTGCTTTCATGAATTCTTTTTGTTAGGCATTCAGAGCATGCAGCCCACAGATCTGATTTTTACAGATATCTAGTTTAACTTTTTTAGCTGCATAATAAAGCTCATCTCATAAGTGTATTATTTTTAATGACCAATTGGGTAATAGCTAGAAAAATACATACTTCAGGAAGGTAGACCAACTTTTAAAATATTTTTTTTAAAACAACACGTTGTAAGTGACAAGTAATCTTTCTGCACAAAGGATGTGTTTAACTGTTTTGTAGCTAAATTGTGCTGTTCTCAGACAAATTTTAAGGGTGTACCACTCTTGTCCCAGAAGGGCTGCAGCTAATGACTTACCCTTGCTGCAGTTACATTACCTAACTAACTTAACTGCTTTAAGTAACTTAGGTAGTTAAACTCTGAATTTTCACTGCATTAACCCTGCTCTTCTACATCTTGGGGCGCCTTGGAAAATTCTCAGCTCCTTGAGACTGCAAGCAGCTTTGGCTGTGATACTGTAAGACGGAAATCTCCGTGGACTCTACAGTATGCACATGGCCACCGGAGCTGGTCCACTGACTTTATTTTAATACCGATGGCGAGGGGCACAAGAAACAGCCTTTTAAAATAGTATAGTCCATGTATTGCACTGCTGTAATCCCAGATGATTTTAATTAGCTCACAGCCCCACCAGGCACAGCTTCACTGGCAAAATACTGGCCTGCTGTAATTTACTTGTGCATGCTGTCAACAATAGGGCACAATAAACTAGTTCTGTACTTTATGTAACACTTACCATAGCAGTAATATAAAATCAACGATGTTATTGAGAGAGATTGTTGTTACTCATTAGACCAGATCATGAAACAATGCTTCTTTTTACTTCCAGAACTGTAGCATACCTGGGTGCTTGTACAAAGCAGCAACACTGGCCATAATTTACTGCATTGCAGTAAAATCAACAATGCAGCATTTTGCAGAGCCAGGCAAATACTTGTATTTGATTTGCTAGGTGAATAAAGAGATAAAAATGCTCCCCAAAAATATTTTTAATCATGTTATTTTATTTCTTGTTTGTAACCCTCCAAAACCTTCACTGTGTAACGAAACACTGGTACTCTTTGAAACCAAAATGTTGTTCTGAAAACTGATTTGAAACTATTTCTTTTACAAGTAACAAAGTGAATCACACTGATTTTTCTCAAAATTCTTTCTTTTGGGGGGAGGAAAAAAAGAACAATTTGAGAAGTTAAAGGTAACTCATAGGTAAGTTCCAGCTAAGCAGAAATCATATTTCAAAGTAAAAATGTTAGGTGTAAAAAAAAGCATCTAATTGCATCTAAGAGAAATTTCCCATAGCTAGAGAGGAAATAAAGAAATTTTCTGTAGTTGAGAGTAAACACAAACTTAGGATATTGCTGTCCAGCTATACAGGGCCATGGTGATTTTTATTTTTTTTTAATTAGAAAAAAAACATAGTTTAAGCTATCACAGCTTAGGAAATGTAGAAGTTGTCAATAGACTACTATTTTTTTTTTCCCTATTAAAACTTGACACATTATAAACATTTTATTGTCTGCTTACAATTTACCACTCTAAACTTAGTTTCTGGTATATCTATGTTTCCTTCCTAAGTCTTCTTGAACTGATACTGTGAGAGATCGTTATTTTGTTCAGTAGAAGTTTGGATGTTGAATAAATATAATTTCTTTCTAACTGAATGATGACAAAAAGAATTATTGCAGTATTGAAATAATCTGCTCTTGGCATAGGTTTGCAATTTGTTGTTCCTGTCTGAAACACGAAGAAAAGAAAGACAACTCATCATCTCAGTTTAGTGGCAGGTATCTTTATAACTGTTTAATATGTAAGAATGAAGATGAATGTATGCTTGTTTTAACTTAACTGTGCACTCAATGCAAACATTAGTTATCTGCATGAAAATTGTACAAATTCATTAAAATTGCAGTCTGATATGGCCAATGGAAGATTTCCTTCTAGAATAAAAGACATTTTATACAGAATATCAGTACTGTAAATTTTAATGAGACACACACGTGAATTTACAAGTTTAAAATACATGCAAAGAGAGGATCAAAAAATGTAAAATAGAAACCTTAGCCAAAGGTGTTTTTGTTTAGGGCAGACTACATGAAATAACTTTTATCAGTTAACCACTGCACAATATAGTAACTCTACATTATCTTTCTAGGTACCTGGGAATAACGAGACCTCTTACGTACCCTGTAAGGCAGAATGGGAAGTGTATGGCAAAAATGATCCTATGTGTATGGCTCTTATCTGCCTCTATCACTATACCCCCACTCTTCGGCTGGGCCCAAAATGTAAATGATGAAAAGGTTTGTTTGATCAGTCAAGACTTCGGCTACACCATTTACTCCACAGCAGTTGCTTTTTATATTCCAATGTCAGTGATGCTTTTCATGTACTATCAGATTTACAAAGCTGCCAAGAGGAGTGCTGCTAAACACAAGTTTGCTGGTTTTCCCCGGCTGGAAGAAATGGAAGGGATTTCTATGAATGGAGTTGTAAAATTGCACAAGGAATCTGAAGAATGTACTAATTTTTCACGTCTCCTAAAGCATGAGAAGAAAAACATTTCAATCTTTAAAAGAGAACAGAAAGCTGCCACTACACTTGGTATTATTGTTGGGGCTTTCACTGTCTGCTGGCTGCCCTTCTTCCTCCTCTCAACTGCCAGGCCCTTCATCTGTGGTACAGCATGCAGCTGTATCCCACTGTGGGTTGAGAGAACATTTCTATGGTTGGGTTATGCAAACTCTCTCATTAACCCTTTTATATATGCCTTCTTCAATCGGGACCTGAGGACAACTTATCGCAACCTCCTGCAATGCAGATATAGGAATATCAACCGGAAACTATCAGCTGCAGGGATGCATGAGGCTCTGAAGCTTGCAGAAAAGCCAGAATTTGTTCTGTAAGGTCACTCTCATCCTTTACTGTGATAATTTATTGTTTTATCACATTAGCTTTGTCCCCACAGATTTGAAAGAAGAGCTATGGGAAGAACCAGGCTTTTTGAGCACTGTTAAAGTAGCCATCATGAAACTAGAAGGTAACAAGGTTAATAATTGTACAGCCCACCAGTCCTTGCGAGCCTGGAAAAACAAGACCACCATCTAAAGAATTTGGGTGTAAGAGGAATACCCAAAAGGGAGAAGGTAAAAAGTGATGCAGGATGTTTGAGTTGCTAGTGAGAAAAGAGCAAAGTTGGTCTAATTAATTTGTTTGGCCCTTGACCCCAAACAACTTCTAGCAGGTCTGAATGTTGGCTACATCTTGTATCCTAGAGATTTTTTTCCTGTAGTAAAGACCTGAGAATGGTAAAAGTTTCAGTATGATTCATTGCTTTCCACTTTGTAATTATAAAAATAAACGATTTAAGAAGAAGCTGGATCAAAGAACTTATATTGCTTAGAAATACTCTTTATTATAAAAAAATATGTCCATTAAATGTTAATTTGTTGGATTGCCTGGAAATAAACTACTTTGTGAAATTTAACGTTGCCTTTGCACAGCAACTACGGCACTGAAAGAGTATGTTACACTTCCAATGTGACTATGAGAGTTTGAGCAAAGTCACGTGGACCAACATCTGCTGCTGCATACAGTCATGCAACATAATTAGCTGTGGTGCTGCTATGCCAATTACACCAGGTGAAGATCTTGTTGCGTGGTTCTAACACAACCAGTATGTCTGATAAGAGTATATTTCAGGAGCTATCTGGTCTTTGTCTATCTTTTCTTTCTTTAATTCTCTTAGCTTTATCAGTTGAACCCTTCTCTAATCTAGATGGAGACTCTGTCCATGCTCAAGCCATTTCTGTTGATGTATGGCTGGTCCTTGTTCCACTTCAGTAGTTAATTTATTGCCTATTTGAAAACTCTTCTAGCTTCTTGGGATTTCTTTCCTTTCTGAAGTCAGTAAGGGAAAAATAAACATAAGACTATGACATTCATAGACATCTGGCCTTTATCCTTACAAACTGATTTTGGTCATCACTTCTGCTTAAAATGATTTAAAGCCTTGCCTTATGTAAGAATCAAGATAATTTGCTGGTTTGAGTTCTAGTTGTTTCCCCCACCACTGCAGCTCATCCAAGGATGTGATTTTACTTCTCCTGACTTTTGTAACAAAGCTCTTCCCTCAGTGGAGGAGGGTCAAATATTATAACAATATTTGTATTTAAAATTTAATAATAATAAATGCATTAATTACATTAATATACTGGTAGTAATGTATTAATATAAAATGAACTGATCATGTAATACATTACTATAATAACCCAAAATAATAATAAACTTAAAACAATTCATAAGAACAAGATACTTGTTCTGGACCAAGTTTGCGCTGCATACCATTTTCCAGATGAAGCACAGGGTACATTAGTAAACAAAGACTGTTTCAGAGCTTGATCTACTTTTTCAGATATCGGGACATCGATGAGGAAACATGTTCATTATGAAATTGCCTCAGCAGCAAATCACACTTTCGGCTAAATTCCGTCCCTGCTTTCTCAAGAGCGAAGCTAAAATGACTTTAATTAATTAAGTGATGTAAATTTGGACTAAGTAGTGAGAAGTTTGTGCCAGATCCCTCATTCAAAGCATAAGACATCGTTGCAAACACTTGAGCTTCTAGGTAGCAGATACACAAGACCTCGATCAATGTGCTGAGCTATGTGTACTGAAACAAGCTTAAGCCATCTTAGATGGATTTACACACTAGGATACATACAGTAGGAAGTACATTTTGGGCTCATCTTTTGAGGAAGGATCATACTTTCGTAATAGTAAGAGACAGGCTATATCCCAGCTTCAGAAAAGTTTTCTAAAGAAGTTTCAAATTGTTTTGGAACACTCTGATCTCTTTTAAATATTCCAAAAGTATTATGTGCAGAAGGACAAGAAGAGATTTTGGCCCAGAATATTCACAAACTCTGTAGTAGAATGTCCTATTACCCAAGCACGCAAGTAACAGTGTTGAGAAGAGGAGAAAGCTTTCAGACAGAATTCTAACTGAAAGAGGCTTAGATAAGAAGCACAAGGATACAATCACTCAAGTTCAAGAACAGACTTTTTACTTTTTGAAAAGATAAATAAATAGAACTGCATCAAAATACCTAACTGCAGCAGTAGTATCTTTTTTAATTAGATAATTCACTACTCAGCTGACAAAGGGGTAACATGAATGGGTGAATGAGAAGTCTACATCACCATGTGTGCAGCCTGGTACATGCTAGTACCAAACCCTAGAAAGGATTGCACTCTTGCTCTGTGTGTCCTTTCCTATGTATCTAGAAGAAAGCAAGGAGGTTGAATAGGTGGGATAGATGGGATTGTGAAAAAAAATTTAATAAAACCCTCACAGAACAAGCCAAAGCACAGAGAGGCCAGCATAACACTAACTGAATGAAGACAGAGAAAGAAGAAGATGAGATATCGGAAGCCAGACACAGAAGCAGTTCTAAGTCTCAGACTTGTGATTGGATAGTTACTTTTGTGAAAACATGCAAAAATGTAGAGGCAACAAGGGTACATATGCAAGAATTTGAGGATAAAGATGCAAATTTTTCTAAGCTATGCTTGTACAATCCCAGTGAAAAGACTATTGCTACCTCATTGCTTAAAGGGGAGCTGGGCTCTGCAGGTCAGCACTGCTCTGGATTGAACAAAAGTGTATTTTAAAAAAATGAAAAATAAAAATAGTAGCATGAAGTGAATCTTGACTTTACGTAAGAACTGTTGAGATCTAAAAGCAATGAAATCTAAACTAATCTTTTTTTCTTAAGGAAGAGTGTATGTTGTCTAAATCCACAAACTGTAGTCACAGAAGGATGTGGATAACACTGACAGCTAACTCTATAACCCCACTCCTGGGAGGTTTGGAAGACTTCAGCTATCTCACCCTTAAGTCACAGTCTGAGATGTGAGAAGTCCCATGTTAACTACACTGTGAAAGACTTAAAATATTGGCCAATCTCAGTTTTTCTACGATGGTAGCTGTCACTTTGTGTAGTATTCAAGTGTTTGACAGGAAAGGTTGGAGTTGGTCCTTAGGTGCCCGGGGCAGCACAGTCTGGAAAACAAGAGAGCGTGGAAAAATCTAAGCTAGAGAATAGGTTTGCCCATTAACTACAGTGCAAACTGGCCTTACCCCAGCTGAAATTTTTTGTCTGAGGAAATTCAGTGCAGCATTAGTTATTAGTTACACTATCCACGTGCAATATTTCTGATTAGAAAGCTTAGTCATATTGCTGTACATCCTAGACCATCTTTCTACCAGCCGGTAGTTCTGAAATTGGTTTCTAGCCACTACATGATTTCTGGATGGTGATGGTGGCAGGAAAATGGGACCAAATTTGCTTCTGTTTACTAGACTGACAAGTTTTTTAAACAGTTCTGCTTAATTCATGCACACATTGCGCTTGTGTTTTCCTCCCAGGATCTCACAAGGCCTTTTAGACTTTTACTTCCTCTGTAGCTCTAGAGTGGAATTTACCTCTCCTTATTCAGGGAGGGAAGGAGTCACCACAATGCATTTTTAGATTAGGGTTTTTTTTTACTTTTCTGTTTCGTGTTTCTGGGGAAATGTAGCTGGCTATACTGGCTCAGGGGACAATCACTCAGCTTTACCATGCCTAAACCCTGGCAAAAACAAGGTGATACTGAAAAATGCTCAGGCAGCAATTTCAGAGTGATTACCATAGCCCATGCTAGGAGCTGAGAAAATCAGGAAGCAGCTGTGCAGCTGCTGAGAGCATCTAGACCACCTCTTCATCCAGCACAAGCAGCCACCTAGTCACAGTCTTCAGCTGCAGCCTGAGATCTTCAGTTGCTGCCAGAATTATCTAGACATCAACACAGGGAGATGCTAGTCAGACCTTCTTTACTTCATACGTCTCTTTGTTCACCTCTAAAGCATACATAAAGATCCTTGAGAGCAGCCATTGAGTGACACAGTTCCCTAAAAGGAGTTTTAGTCAGCTGTGACAAAGATCCTTCCCTGAGCCCACCTGTCAGTATCACAGTTTTACCTAAGATAAACATCAGCTGCAGCTGAAATAAAAGCCAAAGAGCAAAGCTCTGAAAGGGACACCAAAAAAACCCTCCAACCTTCTTACACAGCTCATTTTATGGTATTAGCAATACCCTATCTATAGTTTATCCATAAAGGTAACAGTAGCTCTCAATGGATCCCAGGTGTGGGAGTCCTGGATGAGCCTTCTTTACCTGAAACAGCCTTCCCATAACATGCCTCATGCCAGTAATACAGCCTGTACATTGGGTGCTCTATTTTGCAGGAAATCCCTTGCATCCTTCTGGTCTCATCCTGCTCAGATGCACCATATTTATGTATTTTTTCCTCAATAAATATGGCACAAAGCAGCTTACAGTAAGGGCTCTAGATGAACAGACTTAGACTGAACAATTGTTCTCGGTGCAAGCAATGCCCTTGGAGCAGAATTTGAGATAATGGTTTTGTGAAGAGTTTAGTTTGCCTAGTTTTGCAGGCTTCACTGCCCACCTTGCCCTCTCCCATCTCTGTTTCTTTCTGTTGAGTTAATCACCCAGATGCAAATCGGTAACTGTTGCTCAGAGGTTCTCAAGTGTCACATATGACTCTATTTCTTTGTTGCCACTCCTGCTGACAACTGCCTTTGTAAGTGTACTGCTAGCCTACTGTAAACCACTCTCCCATTTTGCAGTAGCAGTTAATCTGCAGTAGAACCAGGCAGTAACACCATATGGCACTCCCCATGGTATTTTTCCTCCTCTTTCAAATAAAACTCAAGGTTTTGTTGCAGTATCAATACATTGTGAAAACAGTACTCCCCTTGCTCACTTAGTACTGCTTTTTTGAGGGAAACTGTCTGTGGTAGAAGCCTCATTCCTAACATTTTCTCCCAGCTCCTGCAGTCTACCAGCTTGTAGGTTTAATACTGTAGCACAGTATTGGCACTTACCAAACTCCTCTGTTTTGCAAGAGTCTTACTGGGTAATAATAGAAATAGCAGAGTAGTAA